TAACCTGCCTTTGATTATGGCAGTGGGGTTAGTTCTTCCTTATTACACCTGTGACTAAAATTACAGATGTGTTTAATGCAATGTATAATGATTGTGAAAGGGAAATATTTTTATCTAAGGCTAGAAATAATGGAGTAGGTTCAAGGATCATTTCAGTGGTAAAATAAGAACTGTGAAGCTAAAACTAAGAGTTTTACAGGGTTTCCTTGCCACTTTTTTGCTAGTCTATCAGTCTATTGAATTTGAAGCTGGTATTTACTCTGCAAATAATATTTCCAGGAATATTTGCAACATTAATTTAAAAAAATTCTGCATTTTTATTGTAGTTGATATTAAAAACACATGAGAATATTTGATTTCTGTTTCTGATCCAAATACAAGTGTCATCCTGAAGATTATGCTCCTAACAGCATTTCACAGAACACATTCTGTCACCTATTATTTCTCTGGTTTCTTTAGCATGATAGATATTCCTCCTTCCCTTTCTGACTACCTTCATCACTGTTTCAATTCTTGACAGTGTGACATTCTCAAACAACAATCTAATGCCTACAGAGCTTCATGCTGACACAAGCAAAAAGAAGGACAGACTTCCACCTAAATGAGAGGATGGTGGGTAAATATACTTGTAGCTGTCAGTGGGGAAAGTATTTTGTTTTGAGTAGGATTTTTTCCCCTTCCTTTTCTTCATTCCAAGCAAACATGTCTCATTTCCAGGCCCATCTGCACTTTATCCTAGCCAAGGAAACTGCTTTTGCAAGTTAAATTGTCCTGTCTGGTCAGAGGCACTGCCCAGAGTGTGGCTCCCTTTCCTACCTTGCACCTGGAGTCAAAACTGTGCTTGATAGCCTTCTGTGTCTTTGACAAATTAAATTATTGCAAACAGCAGCTGAACCATTTGCCTTATTATTGACTGCAATTTCCCCCTTACAGTAGGCTGCTTCCATGGGGATGGATGAATGGATGAATGTTACTGAGTGTTGAATGAATGTTATGAATGACAGATGAATGAATTACCCAAAATGATACAAAATGAACTAAAATTATTTCACGTCATCAAGGAACTAAAAGCTGCACTTTTAAAAAAGATTATTTTTTTTAACTCGTCTGAATTTTCCTAGCTCTCTCCTGCAGGCAAATTTTTAGGAGAATTTTTCCTGTACTTACTATATTGTGTGGGTATTGAGGTAAAATTGTGGAAGGAATGCCTGTTTTATCAAGCTCAGAATGTAGAATTAATAAGAAAATATTTCTGGCCCTAAAAACTTTATATGTATTAATAAACCAAAGGGTGAAAAGAAAAAACTGGAAGGTTCTTATTGTTTGGTCTTTAATTACCTTTCTAAGATCATGAAAAGCCTCTAGTTGGCTGAAAATAATAGTCTTGCTTCCCACTTCAGAACAAGTACATAGCCATAACATTTTTAACCTTTGGCCCAACACAGATTTTAATTTATAGTTATATTGTCAATTAGAAAAGGAAAAAAAAAAGAATTCTAAAAGCTGGAGTAAAATTTGTGTGGGATGATAGTACCTGGGTTCAGAAAATTAAACTACTTAAATGAAGATGTTTTGAGAGATACTCATTGCCATTCAGCAATTTAAGAAGGTTAGCTTTGTTTCCTTAATAGCTCTGGAGAATTAATGTAGGATTTTTTCCTTCTTCCTTTCTTGCAAAGAAATGAATTTGCAGGAGTCTTTGGAACCGTCTGGATTTACCAACTTTAAAGTCCTCCCATAAGGAAGCTTTACATGGCTCTTCTTGTTTTAAAGGGATTCTTTAGGAAGGAAATAATTTATGTGTTATTGGGGGGGAGGCTGTGTGGGTTTCTGTGCAGCAGAATCCCTGACCAGCACAAGATGTCAGAAGCTCTGAGCTGACCAAGCTGAGGAGGGCTCTGAAGACCTGTTAAGGTTCAATTTTTGTATAGAAAACAGCAAAATTATGTTTTTATACTAACAGTACTTTAGCTGAACTTGTTCTAGGCCCAGATCTTTAAGTTAGACATAAGCCTTAAATCAAGATGCTTTTGCAGTAAAAGAATAAGGATTTAAAAAAGGATAAATTAATTCTATCTACATTACTCCCAGAACAAGCTGAGTTATCAAATCTCCCATTTGGGTGCTTCCCTTGGGAATGGTTTCTTCCCAGCAAATGAAACCTGAGCCACAGAGAGAGGAGGAAGACAGGATCCCTGTGGAAATGTGTTCTGAGAAAATAGCCAATATCAGCAAATGAGCTGGATACAGAGAGAGACCTCTTAGATTTAATAACCAGGTAACACTCATCATTTGAATTGTGTTCTGGGTGTTGTTGGTGGCTGCATGAGCAGTTTGCCAATGTCCTTCATTTGACTCTGATCTGAGAGAGTTTCTCCTTTTTTTTCCCCAGGGAGGGAAAGGGATTTACTGGGCTGAATCTGTATTTCTGCTGTTGCTCTGCAGCTTCATCCAGAAAAGCTCATTTCTTCTTTCCCCCCACTCAGGGCTGGCTGCCTGGGGAAGTCCTTCAGATGGGAATTGTGATCCTGCTGAATTACAGCTGCTGCTCACAGATCAACTCTGCCTCTCCACAGCATTAAAATACCCATCTGCTTGGTTCAGAACTTTGGGCTCACTTTCTAAGGGCATCTGTATTAATGGGAAGAAAGGTGTTATGAGGAGCTAATACATGGTTATGGCTGGGATGGAAATCCCTCTCAGTAGTCAGAAATCAGAATTGTACATAATTGTACATAAATTCCCCAAATCTTTGATGAGAAGATTTCTGCATTTCAACTCCTTGATACAATTTTTAATGTCAAGGTAAAATTACTTTTCACAGTACAGTGCTTGCATCTGCATTCTGTAACTGTATTTTTCCTGGATAGAAATCAGATAAAACAAAAATCAATACTAAGGAAACTAATGTTGCTTTCATTTCTTTCCAAATTAGGGTGCTAAACTTTACTCTCATGGAGGCAGACACCTGCTTAACCTATATTGGATCTTTGTCCCCTTTAGTACACAGCAGCAGAATCAGAAATATTCATTGGTCCCCTACCAGCAACAAAAGGTGTTGGAGCTCTTGAAATGTCTTTGATCTAAAATGATGTTTAGAGACTGCTGGAGCTCTAGCAAATTGTACTTTTTAGAAGTCTTTCCTTCCATGTTCTCTTTAGACTTTGAAAAATGTTGTTAGAATTAATATAGTCTTAATTTAAACAGCTTCTGCATTTGTGTGAGTTTACAAAACAGCAAAATGTAAAACACCTGTTAGGTCAGGGTAGAGTCTACTGATATAAATGCATAAATGTTGAGTTGATGAAAAATAATTTGCCACTGATATTACAAGAATGAAATTGTCCTTATTGTTGCAATAATGTTTGCTCAGTAACCTGTCCCCCTAATCTTTGCAATGAAACCTAAAAATATTAATGATTTGCCATATATTTCGTTACCCTCGATCCCTGTGCCTGTGTGACAAAAATATTTCACACCAACCCTGGTAAATATGAAATGGAACTACAGCTGAATCTCTTCAAACTTTTGGAAAATTCTTTCCCAAATCAACTGCTTCAATACAATTGCAATCCTTGACAGTCATTAAAAAAAATAAGAAAAGTCATGTGAGCAGCAGCCATAATGGAATTTACTCTACTCTTCAACGTTTCAGACATAAAGCAGAATAATTTAATCTCTTCACAGAAATAATATATTATGAAATTACGTTGGATATATGTAATAAAGTAACATGCCGAGCATTTTAATATAACTTAAATAAATTCGATCAGAGCAAAACAGTCTTTTTATATCCTGAAGAAAAATGGGTATTTCATTTTTCTCCAAATGGAAAAGAACTTTTAAAATCTTCTTCCTTATTACTGGAAGGAATTCTTCCATGTTGAAAAGCAGAATTTGAAGTTAAGATATTTCAGAACTGCACAGGTAGAGACCTTATTGTCTGGGGGTCTGACAATAACTATTTTTTACTGATAAAGGGCTTGAATGTGTCATGTTTAATATCAGAATTATTCTCATTTCTCTCTTTTTTCCTTTTTTCATTCTTTTTTTTTTCTTTTTTTTTTTCAATTGTTGACTACCATGCCGATTAAAATGTAGCCCTGTGTTGTTTTTACATTTTAAAGCTGAGGAACTGGAAGGGAAGAGCTCTGAAAATATGGCAAAAATCTGAGATGCAGAGTCAGGAATTTCTCTAGATTCTCTCTTAAAACTGACAATAATGGTATCTTCATTAACTGTTTTGTTATGGGATTTTTTTAAAAATTTTGTTTTAAATTTTATTTGGACATCAGCATTTAGTTATTACAAATACAATGAAGGCATTACCTTGCTTCACTTAGCACTGAAACACTTGTTTCACCTCTGTCTGAACTTAATTCCTACCAGTGACCAAAAAGGAAAATGCTCTACCTGCCATATAAACTCAAACATATTTAATTAATTTCTTTGAAGTGGCATTTTTCATGTCACTTCTAGGACAAGAATTAGAATTAAAAAAATAAAAATAATTTTAAAAAAGCAAGATCCAAAACCCACAAAAAAGTCTCTATATGCACAAATCGGGAATTTAGGAAAAAAAATCCATCTCAATATTATTTAGTTCATTATTACCTCAGTAACTGCAATGTAATTTACTTTAATCAGTGTTCCACTTCAATACTACTCCATCAGACAGTATTCTGTGGCTATTAAACAGAATTCTGTTAACCATGAGCATGCATTACTTTAGATTAATGTCCACAGCTGATTGTAGGTCACCAGTTTTATTCCCAAAAAATATCTTCTGACTGCCATTCAAGGTGCTTCTTCTCTTCGACCTCTGTGTGTGACAGAGAGAAAGAGAGGGCAAAAATCATATTTATAAAGTTCTACAGCACACTCTAAAAACCAGCCAGCTCTCACTCTGGCAAACCAAGGGAGGAAATCCATTTATCCACCTCTTTTTTGTGGAGTGTGGATTGCTCTTTTATATGCTGTAATACCTGACATTCATTTTAACTGCTCCATCCACACTGGTGGTACATTTGGCTTTCTGCAGTGTGAAGAAGAGGTTTTTTTTCCCTGCTTCTGAGGATAAAAAACACCTGTGTTCTACAAATATTTCATCCCTTGCAAGCCTTATATATAATTTAGCAAGCCAATGACAGTTTCTAAATGAATGTTGCATACTATGACCAATTATGATCTTTCAACAAATAAGTTCTGTCTGCTTTGATAATTTTTTCCTTACATTTTCTTTCTTTTTTTCTTTTGAAAAATGTGCTTTCCATCCAGCAACAGCGTACAGAAAAAAGCCCTGACTTCTGTATATAGAAATATTTCATTTGTGATCCATATATGCCCTTTGTCTTGCCTGGAAAATACAGTTTTTAAGTAGGGTTTGGGAGAAATGAGTAATTTGCTTTGTTTTATTAATCCCAAATTTCATTTTTCACTGTCTAGAGGAATATGTGCCTACTTTACCCTCTTTTGAAGGGCTTAGTTGTGAGTAGAGAATATGTCTTTTAATAGTTTATTTGATCAAGGTTTGTCTGTTTGGGAATTAAAAATGTGTTTTCAGTGTGTTTGTAGAAATTGGGTAGATTCTTCTTTGGGCAGTGGGGTGTATCCAGATACCAGAACTTGCAGTGTAACAGAAAGAGGCAAGAAATGGGCCAGAAATAGGTCAGGAATAGGTCAGGAATAGGTCAGACACTCCTTTACCCAGGCACTCACTCTTTGGCTGACTCTGTTTACCATCAATGGTGGAGCTGAAAGGGCCATTGCTGCACTGCCCACTCAGTTCCCTTTTCAATTCTGTTTTTTGCAGTCATAAATGTGCACATCATCTC